AAAAAAAAAAAAAACTTATCTCCAAATAGCAAATTGTAATGTGTAAAATCTGAAATCGCAGTATGTGTCAACATATTTTGGCATTAATTTTGTTGAATATCACTTGTGAGTTGTCCCGCATCGTTCATACATGGAAAATAGACCCACCTTATAAGTCTAATGGGCTACTCTTCATTCCACCAATTAGTTTTGGGATGGAACCCCACTTGGGCTCATATGAGTTTTTCCCTCTCATGGTGCACTTTATGCTAGTGAGACTGCACCCGTTTTTCCCCCGTTTCTTACATGGTATTAGAGCCGGTTCTATTGGGACCGTGTGATGATGACCCGTTCATGATAGTCTGCTTCCCCACGTACCCGTTTATGTGAGTCTACTTATAGTAGGCTTGGGGCACCCAGTTGGGCTTGAGCTTCTCGCATCCGTTTATGGGAGTCTGTTCCCCCACGTACCCGTTTATGGAAGTCTACTTCTAGTAGGCTCGTTCATACATGGAAAATAGATTCACCTTATAAGTCTAATGGGCTACTCCTCTTTCCACCAATTGGTTTTGTGATGGAACCCCACTTGGGCTTCATATGAGTTTTTCTCTCTCATGGTGCGCTTTATGTTAGTGGGACCGCTCCCGTTTTTCCCCCTGTTCTTACAAATTTAATTAATTAAATATGCACAAAATGTTGAGCCCTCTGGACAGTTGTCTATGACAAATTGTGCATTCAAAATGTGTCTACATATTTGGTATTTATTTATTATATATTGATATATTGATTTTTAAGTTGCTAATACATGTAAGCCATGTGACGTGCACATGCCCGATCAGTCCTCCTGCTGCTCTATATTTTATAAAAAAATATGCTGGGATTTTTTTTTTTATTTATTATCATTGAGATAAATAAAAAGAATACAAAATACACACATTTGTACATATAATAGATAAGTTAATTAATTTGATAAATGACATGAATGTGCCTATGGAATAATATTGCTCTATAGTCTAAGTAAGGTAAAAAAAGTTTTGAAAAAGTTTTCAAAACTTTTTTTTGGTAGGCAGCCACAGTATCTGGAGCTATGCCCCAACTAATCCTTTGGTCAACTCGGGTCGCACACCTAACAGTGGTGTGTGATTCTCTCAACAAGGGTTTTCTGCATTCACAAGGACTAAAACCCAAAACCTTGTTTAAGCGACATCAAAATGCTTACCACTTGAGTCAATCCCTGTTAGTCCAAGACTTATATTAGGTAAACTATTGAAGGGAAAAAAAAAATAATTCTCACATAAATTGATATAATGTAACGTTTGGTTGATAGCTATAAATTTATGTGAAAAGTAACTTCTAAATGATAAATAACTTTAAATTCAAACAAAAGTTTTAGAGTGGTTTCAACTTTTTTTTTAATATTTATGTTTTATATAAATATTTGTTATCAATTTAATTGAAATAGATAATACTTTCTTCTCAATACTGTCATTAAAAAAAATAAAATATTCTCAATATTTTAAAATACTATCTTCTATTTTTAAATATATATATGTCGTTTTGAAAAAATTGCACGTTAATTAAGAATATTTTTTTGTCAATAATAACTTTATTTAACGAAGATAGAGATGAATGTTTTGAGAAAAAATAAAGAGTGAATATGAAAAGACGTATTGTATTTATTGGCTAAATGAGGGTAATAATAGAAAAATATGTACAAAAAATCTAAAACAACATTTATTTGATAAATAATTGATAAAACTCGAATGTGATTTAAAAAAAAAAAAAAAATAAGAGGGACTATATATTTTTTTTTTTCATAATTTTGATTCTCTCTCCCAAATGACTGCATATAGTCTCTTTCCTCCTCCCCCACAGTCCACATTTTCAATTCACATAAACCTCATATACTATTTTTCCGATTAAGATATCATCATCATCGCCAACGATCTAGGAAAAAAAAAACTCCCATTTTTCCGAGCTTACATATTCTAAATCCATTTTCGCCGCCTCAAACAAAATTATCAAAGAAACTATTGAGGCTTTAAGCCCTGTAAACCCTTTAAAGAGTACAATTTCTAGTTTTTTTTTTTTTTTTTTTCACTCTCAGTTTCCATTTCCTTATATTATCAAATTTGATTGGGTTTCCGCATCTGGGTTTTCTTGAAAATCTTTCATTTTTGCATTTATGTTCTGAAGGGTCTTCGTTTTCTGATCTGAATCGAGTTCGAGACTTCAGCCAGAAGTCAACATTTTTTGTGGCCTTGAATCTAATCCTGCTCTTTTTCGAGTAAAGATTCGTTTCTGTTGATGCTTTTGGGATAAAGATAAACTATGCAGCCTGATCAGAGGAAAAAGGTACAATCTTTCAGTTCTTACCGTAAATTGCGTGTAATAATTTAGCTGTTTTGTTTGATTATATTGATGATTGGTGAGCTGGTTAGGCGGTGATTTTGTGAATTTTGAGTTGGAATTAACTTGTTCGGGTCATGTGTGTGCGTGCGTGCGTGTGGTTCTTTAATTCAAGCTGGCCCCCTGTAGCACAATTTGGGTTTGAAAGATCTAATTAGGAAAATTTGATAGTTGGGTGTGATTTTAATTCCTGAAAGATGCAATAGAGTGATGATGTTGAGGGTTAGTATGGAGGGTTTTTTTTTTTTTTTTTTTTTTTTTTTTTTTTTTTCTAGAAATAGTTTCTGCAGTCTTTGACCTTGTCAATTGTCAAGTTCTTGTTTCTATTTTGTTCTTTTTTTAGAGTTTTCTCATATTTTGCTAGTAAGTGAAGACCACATTTTGTTGCTATATCTGTATTTTGGTTGCACCTATATGTATGTTTCTGTTTGTTGACTTCTCCTGTAAAAGCTTATCCATTCTTTAGTGTGTTATCCAAATGCTAATTGTGAGTTTCTGGTCTGCAAGTTTATGTGGAGTTGATTTCATGTTGAATGGATAACATTTGGTAAAATGAAAAAAAAAAAAACACGGGCCCGCGTAATTAGCAATCTGGCGGTGTTGAAACGATTCATTCCACGTTTGCTGTTAATTGTCCTGCCTCAACTTGTCCTAAGAAAATACTTAACATGTTTTCCATGAAAGATTATAAATGCAACTAGAAAGCTTTGTTTACATTGCACTAGCAGGATCAGATCATTTTAAACTTTTTGCATCTTTTTGAGATCAGAATGTGTTGTAATTGTTATATTTCAGTTATGATGTTGAACGAAGGTTGAATGGAGCATTGCTGTCTCTTTTTTATTTTGAGAAGCCAATCATTTAGAAGCCAATTGATTACCTGTTAAACAATGTGTGCTGTGTTTTAAGCTGGTTGGCAGAATGAGATCGTAATATCTTAAAAATGTTAGGTAGTAAACATGATAATAGTAATCGGCAACAACAACAACAACTACAACAACATTCATCTTTAATTACTCGTGTTTAATATATATTGTTATTATTATTATTAAAATTTACTTCTAAAATCTTTTCCATATACACACGAGTTAAATTTCGTTTGATTTCAGGCATCAGATGTAGAATTCTTCACAGAATATGGTGAAGGTAGCCGGTACAGAATTGAGGAGGTAATTGGCAAAGGCAGCTACGGTGTTGTGTGCTCGGCATACGACACCCATCTTGGTGAAAAAGTCGCGATCAAGAAAATAAACGATATTTTCGAGCACGTGTCTGATGCCACGCGGATTTTGCGCGAGATTAAGCTTCTCAGGCTCCTCCGCCACCCGGACATTGTCGAGATCAAGCATATCTTGCTGCCACCTTCTAGAAGAGAGTTCAAGGACATATACGTCGTTTTTGAACTAATGGAATCTGATCTTCATCAGGTTATCAAGGCAAATGATGACTTGACGCCAGAGCACTATCAGTTCTTTCTTTATCAGCTTCTGAGAGGCATGAAATACATACACACAGGTTTGTGCAATCACTATCATCTCTGGATTTGTTGACTTTTGGCCCGAGAAGATCACTTTTTGGGAATTGCAAATGCTAATGTTCGCTTCATTTAATTGAAGTTAAAAAGTAGTGATTGAGCTGCTTTGATCTTGTAAGAGTGCTTTTGGTATTTGACTATTTCCAATAAACTTTTCTTGAAACTCTCCATTTATCCCTTCAAACAGTTCAACTTTGACTGTTTTAGTTCTTTACTATTTTTCTTCGAAACACTACAAACTTCTAAGGGTGTCTCCAACAGTCCTAGCTAACTGCTAGCTAGAAGACATCCACGTCATGTATCAAATAGCCAGCAGTCCAGAGAGCTATCTATAATGCTAGCTATTTGTATTTTTAATACTTCCATGTACAGAGACAAACAACAGATTTGACGCATCGTACTGTGTGCGAGATAAGCGACGGGCGAGTCGCCGGCTCGATTTTTTTTGCACGTTCTCTTTCCTCCACATAGGATGAATGCTGACCTGTACACCCAAATAGCTAGCTGACTCAGCCTTGTTGGAGACGCCCTAAATCTTTACAACTTTCACCTTTTTTTTTTTATTTTATTTTCATTTTTGGTTGCAGTCACACCATGCATTGATTAATTTTTTACTCTCTTTGACTAGAATGCATAATTTCTTACATTGTTTTGTAGAAAGTTGAGAACGTGAAGGTTTGTAGATTGTGCGTTTCTAACATATCTTGTTCCTCAACACAGCTAACGTGTTTCATCGAGATCTGAAACCGAAAAATATCCTTGCAAATGCCGACTGCAAGCTTAAAGTTTGTGATTTCGGCCTCGCAAGAGTGGCCTTCAATGATACTCCTACTGCAATATTTTGGACAGTATGCATTTTGTTTCTTCTCATGTTATTTTTTTATGGTTGCTATTAAATATGTATCTAATACTCTGTTTTTTGCCTTTACTAAGGATTATGTTGCAACAAGGTGGTACAGAGCTCCCGAGTTGTGTGGTTCATTTTTCTCTAAGGTGGCGATCATGATTTAGTTTGTGAATTGCAAGAACCATCATCCTTCATGATTAAAATTCTTAATAACTTTACCATTTATTTTATTTTTTTCGTTCTTGTAGTATACACCTGCCATTGACATATGGAGTATTGGCTGCATATTTGCCGAACTTTTGACGGGAAAACCTCTATTTCCTGGGAAAAATGTGGTTCATCAGTTAGACCTGATGACTGATCTGTTGGGCACTCCACCTCCTGAAACCATCGCAAGGGTATATTCATGTTTAATTTTTTTTTTTTTTTTTTTTTTTTTTTTTTTTTTGTTTTCTGAAACAAATTGTCTCGTTGAAGAATACCTTTTTTATTTATTTTTTTATTACATAATGTCATGTGATAGATAAGAAACGAAAAGGCAAGAAGATACTTAAGCAGCATGAGGAGGAAGAAAGCAATTCCTTTGTCCCTCAAATTCCCAAATGCTGACCCTTTGGCCCTTCGCTTGCTAGAAAGAATGCTCGCTTTTGACCCAAAGGACAGACCTTCTGCTGAAGAGGTTAAATAATTTCTATCTTTTCTATTTGTTTTTATAAATCAAAGCACCCATTTAATAGGTAATGAAAAATCATGTTCTTTCGAGCTATCAGGCTCTTGCAGATCCATACTTCCGGAACTTGGCTAGGGTTGAGAGAGAACCTTCCGCACAACCGGTGACTAAGATGGAATTTGAGTTTGAAAGGAGAAGGATCACAAAAGAGGATGTTAGAGAGTTGATATATCGGGAGATTCTTGAATATCATCCGAAGATGTTGAAAGAGCATTTAGAAGGAGCTGAACCCACGAGTTTTATGTATCCTAGGTATTGACTTGTTTATCGAGTTAACAACATATGTATATCTTCTGAAATTTTATTAATAACAATATATTGCTTAAAGCTTCTTGCTTGCCCCAATTATTACACTCATCTAGACCGTCAGGTTTGTGTATCGAAAAAACCTTCATCACGCTTGAATGATTTACTGCAGGTCCTTTTTCTCTTTTTAATTGACATGCATGCAAGTTCTATAGTGGAAAATCTTAATTTTTGTTGTCATCATTTGTGTTTTTGCAATAATCATATTCTTCTTTACAGTGCTGTCGACAAGTTCAAGAAGCAATTTGCGTTTCTTGAAGAGCATTTCCGAAACGGAGGAGCTGCTCCACTCGAGAGACAACATTCTTCGTCTTTGCCCAGGTTTGTTTTTTTTTTTAATTTATTTATTATTTATTTTTTTGTCCTGTGAATTTGGATTTGCCTCCTATTTTTATTTCTTGAAAAAACTGGTTAATGATAGTTGTTTGGAACATTTGAACAGGCCATCCGTAGTGTACTCGGATAAGTCAAACCCGAGCACGGCTGAAGTTGCGAATGATCTTTCTAAGTTCTCGATTAACAAGCAAGTCGAGAGGCCACAAATTGACCGGGCCTCATTACTTCCTGTAATGTCAAGGTTACCTGCCCAAGTTCCTCCAAGTATCCAAGGTAAATGAATTGCACACTTGAAATTAGAACTAATTATTTTTGAATCATATACTAAAGTGAAAACGAGGCCCGCCTCGTATAAATTATTCACAATGTATATGTGCCTTCCCACCGCATCTTTTTTTTTTT